TTGAAATACATGGTAATTGACCAACTGAAAAAGCAAATGTCCGATGGAAATTCCACTTGTCCATTGGATCCAATGGACAAAAAAAATTCCAATGGACATTTGCAAGTCCATTGGATCCAATGGACAATTCGTTTGGCTATCTCAATGGCCTTGTATATCTACATGACGTCCATGTGCTTGTCATTACGTCATTGAAATACATGGTAATTGACCAACTGAAAACGCAAATGTCCGATGGAAATTCCACTTGTCCATTGGATCCAATGGACAAACAAAATTCCAATGGACAAACAGAGATCCATTTGACAAATGGAATGTCCAATGGCCTTTTCATTTTTCCATCGGACATCTTGCATGGGTATTGGACATTAATCTTTTCTTGATCACTTGCAGGCATCTTTCGATGGTTTCTCCCTCTGATTTAGCCTCGTCCACTCTCCACACAAAGTGTAAGGCTTGTTTGCTGCCACCTGGTTGATGAGCATAGTGAATGCATTTGAACTTCAGCCCTTTCTGTTTCAACTCCTGAATGATTTCATAAACTCTCCGTCTATCACAGGTAGGTAGAAACTCTCGGATAGATATGGGACTATAGAGTTGAACATCTAAAAGCTGCTTGTCAAGGCCACTCAAAGCAGGATGAATTGGACTCTTGTTTACTTTCATTAGTGTGACATTGGCCCTAATTTCAACTTCACTGCGGGGGGTTTCTCGCGATACTTTGTTCCTAACATTGTCCACTCTGAGATGCAAGCAATACTGCTCAACAACTTGAACCATTTGAAGAACTTCCTGCTTTACCTCGGCCCATGGTATGCTGTCTAGGAACTGTAGTGACTGTATAACTTCTCTAATAGCAATGGCATGACTTTCCAACTTCTTTTCTGAGAGGTTGTTGAGCTCGCGTTTTCTATGCTTAGACTTTTCTGGGCAGTTAAAACCACTAAATGTCCTTTTAAAGACTTCTGGAAATTTCTTTGCTTTGCTTATTTCCATTTCAATTTTGAAATATTGCCCATCAAGATAATACACAAAGTCAGAAAGCCTAGCAACAAATACAGTGGCTGCTTTTCCACAATTACAGTGGCTGCTTTTCCACAATTGGCAGGGAAGATACACATCTTTTCTTGAAAGTATGTTAGAATTGTATTCTTTAGTTTATCTAGGTTACATTTGGGATCTGGACAAACCTTTGGAATACCTATGATAGCAGCTTCTTTGGCAGCAGCCATCATCACTTGAAAAGCATTTGTAGTAGGTGGATTCGCAGTGCCAGCATGGAGGCGACAATCATCACAGTCTATGTCGCCATGTTTGATATTGATGGAAAAAAATCTCGTGTTGAAGAAATTAACAACTTCCATCAAATCATTCTGTGCATCACCTTCTATTCCATTTGTAAGCGATAAAGAGAGGAATGCAGTTGCTTTTTGGAATTCGTAGCTTGTGCGTTTGCACTTTAAATCAACAAAATCAAGCTGTCCATGCACTCCTTGGATAATATCGGCCCAAAGCTGCTGATAGGTGTAAGAAGTGTGATTTAACTGCACAAATCTCCATGGCAATACGATACGGTTCGCTTCACAAACACGAACTGCAACTTGTATTTTAGAAGCCATTATTTCATTTTAATTCTAAACAAAACAACATTATAATAATCATATAAAACTGTATAAGAAAAAAACTTATCAGATATTTCAAACTGGACATAAACTTTAATAGAAAACTTACCAGATTCATCCAGATTCAATTTTAATATATCCGCACACTCCATCTTCGAACACGGAACACATGTAAATTTAAAATTTAGATTGAAAAATCCATTTCTGAGCCTATGTATGTTTGGTATGCGGTTGGTGTGACAACAACATCAAAATAACATCATCCAAAGTGTGACAAAGAGTAATACAAACAGATTTTAAGCTTTAAATTCGCGATTCGACTACTTTGTTTTAAAAAAATATCATTCACTTGAATCTTCTAACAAATAATGAAATTTATTGCAAATAATGAAACTTTTTATGCGGGGCTTAAAACCGATGCGGGCGGTGGACGGTATTCTATGACTTTCATTCCCATGGCCT